CGCACCGCTGCCGCGCCTCAACGCGGCCCTGCCCCGCGCCCTCGCGCGTCGCGCGGGCCATCGCCCTGATGAACTGGATGGCCCAATCGCCCAGCTTGGAGCGGCGTGCCCAGGGGCCCCGAGGCCCCGAGGCCGCGCGACCAGAGCGGGCGAGCGCCAAAAGCCCCGCCATCTGTGGGCGGTGGCCCGGTGGCAATGAAATCCGCCGACCCCTTGTGGGTCTCTAGGCGTGTGAGATAGTTCCCCCCCCATAACCCCCCCAGGGACCCCAAACCGGAGATTTGACCCCCCCCCCCCGGCCCGGCCCGAGCGCACCACGAGGCTTTTCCGGACCCAAAAAGGCCTAAAGACGAGCCAAGAAGGCCCCAAGAGGCCTCCAAGACGGCCACGAGGGTCCCGAGACACCAAACGAGCGCTCCAAGACGCCCAAGATGGCCCAAAGACGGGCTAAGAGGCCTCCTAGACGGCCCAAGAGGTCCCCACGAGGCCCCAAGAGGCCTCCAAGATGCGTCCCAAGAAGGTCACTAGACGCAAAAATGGGCCCATTCCCTTCGTAAAACGTACAATTGTTCACAAAGTCGCCTTCTGGGCTTTCCGCTGCTCCCAGACGGCCCAAGGGGCCCCCAATACCGCCCCAAGACGGCCAAAGAAGCCTCCAAGAGGGCCCCAAGATAGGCCAAGAGGGCCCCAAGACGGCCCAACAGGCGTCCAAGACGGCCCAAGAGGGCCCCGAAGACGGCCCCAAGAGCGTTCCAGGAGCGCTCCAAGTGGCCTGCAAGAGATCTCAATCTGGTCCCACACGGTCCAAGAGCGATCAAAGACACCGCAGATGGCCTCCAGACGGCCCAAGATGCCCCCAAGAGGCCCCAAGAGGCATCCAAGACGCGTCCGAAGAGGGCCTCTGGACGCAAAAAATTGGCCCGTTCCCTTCGTGAAACGTACATTTTTCAAAACATCGCCTTTTGGGCTTCCCGATGCTCCCACACGGCCCAAGAGGCCCCCAAGTCCGCCCCAAGACGGTCCAAGAAGCCTCCAAGAGGGCCCCACGACAGCCCAAGAGGGCCCCAAGACGGCTCAAGAGGCGCCGAAGACGGCCCAAGAGAGCCCCGAAGACGGCCCTAAGAGCGCTCCAAGAGCGCTCCAAGTGCTTCCAAGAGAGCTCAACATGGTCCCAGACGGTCAAAGAGCGATCGAAGACACCCGAGATGGTCTCCAGATGGCCCAAGACGCTCCCAAGAGGCCTCCAAGATACGTCCCAAGAGGGTCCCTAGACGCAAAAATTTGCTCATGTCCTTCGTAAAACGTGTACTGTTTCACAAATTCGCCTTGTGGGCTTTCCGACGCTCCCAGACGGCCCAAGAGGCCCCCAAGACGGCCCCACGGCCCCCAAGACGGCTCCAAGACGGCACCAAGAGGGGCCCGCCCCCACGAGCCCCAGGGGGCCCCAAGAGTGCCCCAAGAGGCAGCCAGAGGCCCCCAAGAGGCCGCCAAAACGCTCCACGGAGCCCACAAGAGACCCCCAGGAGGCCCCCAAAAGACCCCCAGACGCTTCCGTATTGCGAGCCGCGAAGCCAACTGCAATGCACTCCGCGCATACAGCCTTACTCTTCCTCGTGAAGTGCTCACTATCTTGCTCGGCGCTAATGTGCTGCTGCCGCGCGAACTGTTTAGTGCGCGCTGCGAACGTCGACAGCCTCTTCACCCGTTTCGACTCATCTGCCACATCTTTCGCGGTGATGCCTCGCTGATCACAACTTCCGCACACCACTCTTGCTCCTTTCGTCTTCCGGTGGTCCTCCACTTGGTTGCGGATCGAAAGGCCGACCTCCCAGAAGGACACCCCGCACCCGGGCGCACAGCACGCAAGGCGCTCGCAAAACACGCCCCAGACCACCGGCATCACGCAAACATTTGGACCCCCTACGTATCTGCCACCACCCGTGCGCGACACCGCACCCTCACACAAGACGCCGCTGGCCACAAACTCCTGGCCCCGCAACATTCACAGAAGGGGTCGGCGGATGCGGCGTAAGCCTGTAGAATCTGGCGGACGTTGCCCCCCCCCCCCCCACACACCACAGGGCCGGTCGGCCGCGGGGGAGTGATCAACTAAGGAGCCAGACGACTTCAGGAGCGATCGCTCGAGGAGTCGCTGGCTGGTGGGTCCTATATACATGTGTATATATATATATATATATATATATATATATATAGAAAAAATGCAGATGACAATATAAGACATTGATGGTTCGCTTCGCTTCGCCGCAACATCTGGTCCCACGTCATCGCCCATTGCGCAACATCTGAATGATCTGTCGTCGATGTCGGAGCTCGGAGCGGGCCCTTTGTGGCCGAAGTTGAAGAACGATGCTGTGCTCTCAGAGTTTCTGCAAAAACGTGGCGCGGCTGGTACTTCTTTGACTCCGCGAGCGCGAGGGGGCAGCAGGCGGCGGCGCCGCCGACGACGGCGCTCGCAATCGGGACGGCGGCAGCGACGACCGTCGACGACGACGGGGGCGCGGGAATCTGCGACGGCGTGGACGTCGCGGCTTTCAGAACGGACCAGCTACGCCATCCCTGCGGCGGCAAACCCCGATGTCAGGCCATCTACGGCGCCGCGCGACAGCATCCTGGAGGCGAGACGGCGAAGAGTAGCGCGCACCCAAACATCGTGCCCAAAGATCCGAGAACACGCGTGCTGCCATGGTGCCGCGGCGCCGCCCGCGGCTTCAGGGTGACACCTCGAGGGCAGCCAGGCCCCCAGCGGCCTCAGGGGGTGGCCCGTGGTCCGTGGTCGCCACGGGACGACCGTCGTGACGTGATCTGGCGGGGGGGGCAGGGCCGACCACGCCCGTCAACGGGCTCCGCTTGTCCTGGCCAGCCCAACCAGCGTCGGTTCCTTCGGTTCCCTGTCTGGAGCGCCGCGTGGCTGGATGGCCAGATGGGGGGCCCAAAAATGTACACCACTACCACCTCCCTCCCCACCTCCCCCTCGGTGGAAAGAGGAGAGAGGAGGAATCGACGTGGTGGTGGTGGTGTACGTACATTCTTTGGGCCCCCACCAGAGGCGCGCAGGCTCGGCAGGGGTGGCCGGGCCGGTCCTGGCTGTTCCTGGCCTCGGGGGCCGTTCTGCCTGGGAGGGCGTCGCCACCTGACTGCAGAGCGAAGGCGGCACCTCGAGGGTGGCCAGGCGCCCCCGGCGGCCTCCGTCGGCATCGCATGGTGCAGCGCAGGCCCTGCACTCTTGGCAGCCTGATGTCAGAAAGTCGGTGGCCAAACGAGCGGTTGCGCGGGGCATAGCGGTTTTGGGTGGTGGATCTTTGGGGCGGTCGGTGGGATCAGCAATAGTGCCAGCGTAGAATCGCAATCGTATTGCCGCTACTGTGCCGCAGCTGTTCTGGAGCACGTGGCGCGTATAGCGCCCTGGGCCCCCTCGCCCCGGGGGCTTGCCCGCAGTTCTCCAGGGGCCTGCCAAGCCCGACAGCACTTGGTGGTCAGCAGAGGCTCAAAGAGCGGGATTGCCCATCATCGCGGGGCGGCCCAGCCCTCCCCCATCGGCTGCACGTAAGAGTGACCCTGGGTAAGAGTGACCTTTGGTGCGCGGCTTTTTCGGGGGCGCGAGGAGGCCAAACACAAGCGCGCAAGACGCTAATATCGCAACGAGCGCGGCGATCGGGGGACCCCAGTGAGCGTGCATCCAAAGGTCACTCCGGCGAAAGGTCACTCTTACGTGTAGTCGACCCCGGGCCTCGCGAGGAGTGCGCGGCACCGACGGGGCGGAGCGCCTCGCGCTCGCGGAGGCCAGGAGCTCGGACGGCCCTGCCGTTTCTCTTTCTGGCCCCGGCGCTCTTCCTCGATAGCTCGGCCTCCGGGGCCCGTGCTCGGGCCCCGGAGGCCATCGAACATGGATCTTGCCATCGCTCGGACGTCCATTCCCTGTGCGTTTTTTCCGGTTTCGTGCGTGCTTTTTGTTTTTTGCTCGATGGTCCAGGAGGCTCCTCCATGGTCCTCGCCGAGGAAAAAGTGCACACGTCCGAGCGATGCCAGGGGATCTGGGACCTGAGAGAAGGAGTCGGGCCCTCTGGGGCCGCGGACTGCAGAACCAGATCGTCGGATGCCTGGGGGGGGGGGGGGCCGCCACCAATAGAGCTCCCAAGAGGTTCCCCCACGGAGGCCTCCCAAACGGGGTCCGAGTAGACGGGGCCGAAGGATCGTGCCGCATCCCTGATGCATCGCCGATGCATTGGCTCGCCGCTAGATTCCGCTTGATGAGGGCCTTAGGCACGACGGCGCGGAGACCTTGCGCGTTGGCAAACGTGTGCCGCCAATGCTGCACACCACGCGGAAGAGATGGCGCCTGCGTGCGACGCGGCCTTACGCGGGCAGACTGCGTGCGACTGCTCGCGCAGTTGGCGCCATTCACCCGGGATCGGAGGAGGAGGAGGAGGAGGAGGAGGAGGAGGGAGGAGGAGGAGGAGGAGGAGGGAGGAGGAGGAGGAGGAGGAGGGAGGAGGGGGAAGGGAGGGGGGGAGGGAGGAGGAAGGAGGGAGGAGGGAGGACCTGGGGCTTTTTTTGACGTTGCAGGCAGAGCCTTTCCAGCGAGTGCGGGTCGGGGGGCTCGCTCTGCCCGCCTGTCCCTCCTGCCTCCCTTCACCTTCCCCCTTCCTCTTCCCCTCTTGCTCCCTTCACCTTCACCTTCACCTTCACCTTCCCCCTCCCTTCACCTTCCCCCTCCCTTCACCTTCCCCCTTCCTCTTCCCCCTTGCTCCTGGAGAGGACTGTCGGCGGTGGACAACCTCCCTTTAGTAGACCACCCTTCAGCGAAAACGGCTCATGACCGAAACCGACGGACCTGGACCCGCAAGAATTACGGCCGCGACGCCCTCTCGCGAACCGACAACGGTCAATTCGCTAATCGACGTGGCAAGGTAGGAGGTCTATCAACCTCCGAGATTATGAAGGAAGGGAGCAGCAGCGCAATCGCACATTCTTACCGCCGCATCCTTGCCCGCCTGCCCAGAGAGCTTGAAGTAGCCCGGGAAGCAGCGCAACCAGGCAGCCAGTCCGCCGTGCTCCTGTGTGGACCACCAAAGTTGAGGGGCTGGCACGCAGCCCATGCCTGCAGCGAGGCTTGAAGAACAAAAGGTCAAGGGCCGTGTAACGGCGCTACGTTTAATTGCGGTGGGTGGGTGGTCCGCCTCCTAGGGGGCCACATGCGAACCCTACCCCTACCCCCCACGATTTCTGAGGGGGAGGGTGGGGTTCACTTCGCTCGGGAGCTCTCGAGCGAAGTGACCCCCACCCTCCTCCTCAGAAATCGTGGGGGGCAGGGGTAGGGTTCGCATGTGGCCCCCGACCTCCGTCCCTCCCCGCCGAGGAGTATCTGCTGCAAGGCCATTTTGCGGCGTGGCCCGCGCCCGACTGCGCTCGCTCCCGGCCGCTCCTCCGTGGGCCCCAGGGTCGTAGAAGGCCCCTGGCAAGGGCAAAACGGCTCGAGAGGAGAGCCTGGCGCCCCAGGAAAGTCCGGCCTGGGCGTGGGGTCGCAAAAGATCCGGCCCAGAAGAAGACTCCGGCATGTCGCTAGAAGTCTGGCCCGCCTGGCTGCTCCTCCGCGGTGGCGCCCCGCCCCCCAGGAGTCGACCCAGGGTCCCCGACTCCTCGTCGTCCTCCTCTTCCTGCTCTTCCTCGTCCGCCTCCTCGGCCCTCGACCCCTTCTCCGTGATCTCTCTCCTCTTGTTATTCCTCCTCCTCCCCCTCCTCTTCTTCTACTGCTTTTTTTTTTACTGCTTGCAACTGTGTTATGACCTTTCCTGTAAGCTAATCGCAGTGGACCCCAAACCGTGGTTTATTGAACTTTGGAGGCGGAAGCCATGCTATGTGGTGAAAGCCATGTTGCGTGAACTAAAGAGGTAGAAACTATGCGGCGTAAGCCGTGCGGTGTCAGCTATGTCGTGTAAACCATGCGGTGTAAGCTAGAAGTAAAAGCTATGCGATGCAAGCAATGTGAAATAGGCTATGAGTCTGAGGAGTAACCTATGCGGTGTAAGCTATGTGGTGTAAGCTATGTGGTGCAAGTTATGTGGTGCAAGCTATGTGGTGTAAGCTATGCGGTGCAAGCTACGTGGTGCAAGCTATGTGGTGCAAGCTACGTGGTGCAAGATCAGCGCACAGGGCGCCCACGAGGGCCCACGAGGCGGAACAGGCGGCAAGGTGGCGAAAACCTGGTGAACCCATCTAGTTTCCTTACGTCAGGTTCGTATCGTGCCGACTTCGGCGTTGGTTTCTGACACCGCGGGGATCGTTCAACCTTGAACGATCGGCCGTTTCCGAAACGTCCAAATCGTTCCACATCGAACGATGCTGGGTCGCCCGCGGCGTTAAGCGTTGAACGCCGCTGGCGGGGTCGCCTCTGGTCGACACTACACGAACCTACCATACGCAACACAAATAAGAACCTCTAAACGCAAGCACTGTTTGCGGAATTTCTGCAATCCCGGAGGGTGGGGACAACCCCTCCCCTCCCCGCCAAGGCGGACCCTCTGGATCCCTGGCCCCAGGGATCGGCCTAGTCAGCGGGCCCAGAGCGGTCAGGAGGGTGTCCAAATGGCCCTGCGAAAGCCCCAAGCGGCCCCAGACACGCACTGGACGCCCGAAGACGGCCAAAGAACATCTCAAGAGGCGAGGATAAGACCGATCGCAACCACTTCGGACCGTCCAAGAACCACTAGGACCGATTACACCCACTGCCTTCGGACTGATCGCAACGTGTAGGATTTCTTCTGTAATCCTGCAGGGCGAACACCGGATTGCAACCAGGAAAGCTAGCTTCATCTGCCCTGGGCTTGAACGTTTCTTGTGGGTTCCTGCGCGTTTCTGGGGGACTCCTGAATGATTATGAGAGAATTGATGATTGGCTCTTGCGGATTTCTGCGTGTTTCTGGAGGATTCTACATTGATGATTGAGGATTTCGGAATGCTTATGGAGGATTCCTGATTGTTTCTGGAATAGTTCTGATTGTTTCTGGGAGATTCCTGAATGATTCGTCCGGATTTCTGCATGCGTCTGAAAGATTCCTGAATGATTATTGAAGATTTCTGCGTGTTCCTGGTAGGTCCCTGAATGATTATTGAAGACTTCTGCGAGTTTCTGGAAGATTCCATAATCTATATTGACGATTGATGCGTGTTTCTGGACGATTCCGGAATGATTATTGATGATTGCTGCGCGCTTCTAGAAACAAATCGTATGTTTCTGGAAGATGTTTGCGCGCGTCTGGACGATAGCTGAGTGATTATTGAAAATTTCTGCGGAATTCATATCAGCCCCGCGACTCCAACGAAGGACCCATAAAGGCCCATCTGGAAGGAAAAAACTTCTGGGGCGCGCCCAGGAACCCAGGGGGTCCGGCTTCCGCGGAGGAAAAAAAATCCCTGGCGAGGGGTTCGAGCACGGGGGTTACCCCCGCCTCGAATTCTGGAAGGAGGAATGAATTCTCAGCCGCGGGGCTGCCCGCGCGAGGGGCCCCACCCACCCCAGCGCAACCAGAGGAGGAAAAGCGTGAGAGCCCAGATTGTAAGTGCAATGCAGCAACACTCCTATAGTGGCTGCACGAGGGAGTTGTGCTAGTAATGAAGGATTTGTACCAAGGGGTTGCACTAATACTAGGAAATTGTGCTAGGGACTTGTACTAGGGAATTGTACTGGGGAGTTGTATGCATACTGCCTGGGCTCGGGAATTTTACTAGCAAGTTTCACTCGGGAGTTGTACTATTACGTTATATCGCTTGTACTGTAAGTTGTATTACTACTAAGGAGTTGCACCTGGGAGTTGTACTAGGGACTTGTACTAGCGAGTTGTACTAGCACTTGGGATTTGCATCAAAGAGTTGTAGTGGTACTATTTGTGCTAGAGAACTGTACCAGGGAGTTGTACTAGGGAGTTGTACCAGGGAGTTGTACTAGTATTAGGGATTTGTACTATGGATTTGTACTAGGGCGCACAGTTCTACCAGTTGTGATATGATACCAGTTGCATTCTAATCCGCCGACCCTGTCGGCGTGTGTGAGGGGCTTCTCCGTTCGACTCGTCGTCTCCGTCGTCTCCGTTCTCCCCCTCCCAGGGCTCTCCTCCTCAAGCGCGCTATCCAAAGCGAAATTAAACGACGTCGTAGTGGAGTTCAAGGGAAGCCCCTTCTCTTTGATCCCTTCCCCGCACGGGGGGGGGGAGGGGGGGCCGGGGCAGATGCGACGCCCGCCGGGGCGCACTTTCCTCGAGCGGGCACGCACGGGATGCACTTCCTCCTCCTCCTCCTGGTCCTCCTCCTTCTCCTCATCCTCCTCTTCCTCGTCCTCCTTCTCCACCTCGTCGTCCTTCCTCCTCCTCCTCCTCCTGCTCCTCTCCTCCTTCTCCTCCTCCTCCTCCTCCTCCTCCTCCTCCTCCTCCTCCTCCTCCTCCCGCAGAGGCGTCCCGGGAGCGGGCCCCGAGTCAAAATACCACCCCCCTAGGGCGCATTTTCCTCGAGCGGGCACGCCCGAAATGCACTTCTTCCTCTTCCGGGAGCACGTCCCAAGTCAGAATATCACACTCCCCGGGCGCATTTTCTTCGAGCGGGCACACAAAGGATGCACTTCCTCCTCCTCCTCCCCTTCCTCCTCCTCCTCCTCCTCCTCCTCCTCCTTTTCCTTCTCCTTCTCCTCCTCCTCCTTCTCCTCCTCCTCCTCCTGCTCCTCCTCCTCCTCCTCCTCATCCTCCGCTTCCTCCCCCCGCTCCTAGCCCTTTCGATCAGGGTCGGCGGCACCGGCCGTCAGGCCTCTCCAATACTTGCACGGCAGGACCATGTGCTCTCTAGGAGCAACTGCGCGCTAGTACATGGTAGTCAAAATACTACATGTACAGTAGTCGGAAGGGTTCAAGCGTTCCAATGGCAACTCGCGCGCGGAAGAAGGAAAGAAATCCACGCGTCGCCAGGGGTCCCGGGTTCAACGGGTCGCCGCGAAGGTTGACCCCCCGCGGAAAGAAGAAAAGAAATCCGGCCAAGGGGTTCTGGCCAAGGGGTTGGGGGGTTCAGGCATGAGTCGCTGGGCCGATGGATTCATGGATGATTTCTTGGAGGATTTCTCGGGAGATTCCTGGAGGCTTGTTGGGGGATTCCTGAAGGATTCTCGAAGGATTCCTGACAGATTCCTGGCGGATTCCTGACGGATTCCTGAAGGACTCTTGGAGGATTCCTGAAGGATTCTTGGAGGATTGCTGAAGGATTCTTGAAGGATTCCTGGCAAATTCCTGGCGGATTCCTGACGGATTCCTGAAGGATTCTCTGAGGATTCTTCAAGGATTCTTGGAGGATTGCTGAAGGATTCTTGAAGGATTCCTGACGGATTCCTGACGGATTCTTGCAGGTTCCTGAAAGATTCTTGCAGGATTCCTGATAGATCCTTGGAGGATTCCTGAAAAATTCTTGGGGCCTCCTCGGGGCCTCTGCGGACCCCGTTGGCGGTCTCTGGGGTCCTCTTGAGCACTACTGGGCGCCTACTAGGCCGTCTTGAACCATCTCGAGGCCACCTTTGGGGCCTCTTGGGCCGGCTTGGGGCGATCAGGGGGGGCCTCTGGGGTAGGTTTGGGCGGTTCTGGGCCGTCCAGAACGCTGCTCGGGCCGACAATAAGAACATGTTACACATGCGCGCTTGTCCACGGGACTGCGACGATGTTGGCTTCTTGGGGCCTTGTTGGAGCCTTCTTCGCAATACCCGTGGCATCAACATGGCTCCCAGCCGATGTGCCGCTGCGAATGGTCGGCTACCACCACAAGTACAAGTACAACAATAACAATGATAACAGCGGCAACAGCAACGACAACAACAAGCACTTTATAAGGCTGTTCGCTTTCATCTGCTCACGTGCGATTCATCACGTATCTCCCAAACCTTTGATACCTGCCCTCCTCGTCTTCGATCGTACCCCGTTAAGGGTATATCGTTCTTACCTTCAACGTGCAGTTCGTGCAGCCCTGAGGCAGGCGACGGATGGAAGGAAGGGATAAAAGAAGAGGGGGGAGGATGGAGCACGAGAGAAAA